TCAAATTGATTCACAAATACTTGTTTTTTAATGCTATTTTAAGTGGTATTTTTAAAATTAATTTTGTCAATTGTTGGTAGCATATGTAAATACAGTTGATATTTGTATCATGCAGTGTTCTTAAATTTACTTTTCAGTTTTAGTATTTTTTCATAGATTTTTACAGTTTTCAATGTAAACAATCTGGTTGTTTGTAGTAAAGAGTTTTACTTCAAACTTTTAAAAACTGTATCTTTCTCTTGTCTCATCCCACTGGCTAGGACTTCTAATACAATATCAAACAAAAGTGGTGATAGTGAAGATCTTTGCCTTTTCCTGGTTTTAGGGCAATATCTTTCAGTATTTCACCACAATCATATAATGTTGGCTGTAGGATTTTCTTGAATACCTTTTATCAGGGTAAGGAAGTTCCATCCCAGTTTGAGTTTGTGAACTCATCCCACTTTTAATTATAAACTGATGCTCGCTTTTATCAAATGCTTTTTCTGAATCTACTGAATGTTATAGGTTTTCACCATTACTTGATTGTGGCAAATTTCATTGATTTTTCTAATGATAAACTGCCTTTGCAATCCTGGAATAGATGACTCTTGCTAAATTTTGTTTAGAATTATTGTACACATGTTCATGAAAGATACTGGTCTGTAATTTTCCTTTTTTTTATATCCTTGTCAAGTTTTATATCCAGGTTATATTGATCTCATAAATGCTTTGGGAAAGATTCTCTTATTCTCTATTTGTTGAGAGAATTTGTGTAAAATTAGTATCTTTTCTTCATTTTACATGATAGAATTCCATCTGTGCTTGAACTTATTTTGTGGAAAGGTTTATTAGAATTTCAATTTCCTTAATTGATGTAGGACCATTCAGGTTTATTTCTTCTTGATTATATTTTGGTAAGTTGTATAATTCAAGGAATTTATCCAGTAATCTAAATACCCATATTCATGAGCATAAAGTTATTAATAATATCTCATTCTTGACATTGGTATTTTGTTTTCTGTTTTCTTATTCAATCATTGTCTTGCTAGGGTATTTTTCAATTTTATTAATTTCAAATAATTTCATAAAATGTACCCTATTATACATATGTATTCTATTTTACTGATTTCTGATCATATTTTTATTATTTCCTTTTTTCTGTTTGCTTTGGACTTTCTTTGAAGTTCTTTTTCTAACTTCATGCTTTGGGAACTTGGATTATTTATTTATAACCATTCTTCTTTGCTAATATATATACTTTTAGATCTATACATTTATTGTTAGATATTACTTTAGCTGTGTTTCACAAGTTTTGATAGGTTTCATTTTCCTTATAATCCAGAATATTTTACAATTTATAATTCCAGAATTATGTAATTCTGTAAAATTATAGAATTCTAGGTTGGCAGGCTTAGTTTAGTTTTGTTTTCTTTTCAGCAGTTTTGAAGATGCTATTCCATCTTCTTCCAGGTTCATAGATTTTTGTTAAGGTATCAACTATTATCTTTATTGTTGTTTCCCCAGGAGATACTGTATCTTTTTTTCTGGCTGCTTTAAAAATGTTCTTTTTTGCTTAAGTTTTCAGGAGTTAGACTAGTGTGCTTAGATGTGGTTTTCTTTTATTATCCTGCTTGCTGCTTGTGAAACTTTTTGAACCTGTGAGTTTTAGCATTCATTAGATTAAAACTTTCCTCAGTCATTATTTTTTCAATATTGCTTATGTCCTGTCTCTCCTCTTCTTCTTCTTAGGCTCCAATTACGTGTATGTTAGGCCTTTTGCCTGGCCCACACTGCTTTCATACTTTGTTCTTTTTCATTATTTTTTTCCTTCTGTGTTCAGTTTAAATATTTTATTTGACTCCTCGAACCTTCACTGGTGCTATAACGAAATAGTTCCTAATTTCAAATATTTCGATTTGCATTTCTAAAATGCCCATTTGATTCCTGTTCATAAATTTTCATCCACTTTGTCCATCTTTTCTCTAATTCCTTAAGATACTAATTTTAGTTACTTTGAAACTTTTGTCTAACTCTAATATCTGATTCATCTGAGTCTTACTATTTTATCTGATGATTTGGTTGGGTTTTTTTCTTTTTTCTTTGCATGTCCAGTGGTTGTGTGTGTTGGTTAACATAGTGGTTGATACAGTGAAGAGGGTCTAGATTATATTGCCTTCCTCTGAGTTTTGAGTCTTGTTCTGGCATCAAGTGTCTATTTTAGTCCTTACTCCTACTGGTAACACTGCTAATTCATGGTCCTTAATCTTATGTAGCCTTTCTGGGGTCTTCATTAAATTCTAGGTATTTATGAAGGTTTATACATTTTCCATTAGGCTGGGCCTAACCTCTCATGTCTTCCCATTATTTTGAAACCTCTGAAATCTCTGTTCAGCTCTCAGCCTTCCAGACTGTTCTCTGCTAGGTCTCCTGGAGTCTTGCCTTGCTCGTACACATCCTAACAGTGGGCCAACTACCTGAGGGAAGTTGCATGCAGTTTTGGAGGGTTCCTTCTGTGCAGCTCCCTCCTCCGAGGCACTTTGCCCTCCAAACACGACTGTGCCAGCAGGCCTTAACTCTGGTCTGTTTCCTCTGCCCGGAGACCCTGCTGCTTTCCGCCTGGGCTCATATCCACATGCTGGGATGAATGTGAGACAGACCTAATGTGCTTTCCTTTGTTGAAAGGCAATATTCTGCTTTGGTTGCTGTCCAGTGCCTGCAATTAGTATTTTACACAATTTGTGTAGCTTTTATTGTTGTTCACAGCAGTAAGGGGAGCCAAGTTCAGTTACTCATTACTAAAGGTACTCAGTCATAACTGGAGCTGAAGTCAAGAGGTTCATTTTCTTAAATTTTGTTATCATTAATCTACAATTACATGAAGAACATTGTTTACTAGGGTCCCCCCTCCACCAAGTTCCCCCCACAAATCCCATTACAGGCACTGTCCGTCAGTGTAGTAAGATGCTGTAGAATCACTACTTGTCTTCTCTGTGTTGCACAGCCCTCCCCATGGCCCCCCTACACATTATACATGCTGATTGTAATGCTCCCTTTCTTTTTCCCCCTTATCCCTCCCTTCCCACCCATCCTCCCCAGTCCCTTTCCCTTTGGTAACTGTTAGTCCATTCTTGGGTTCTGTGATTCTGCTGCTGTTTTGTTCCTTCAGTTTTTCTTTGTTCTTATACTCCACAGATGAGTGAAATTATTTGGTATTTGTCTTTCTCTGCTTGGCTTATTTCACTGAGCATAATAATACCCTCTAGCTCCATCCATGTTGTTGCAAATGGTAGGATTTGTTTTCTTCTTATGGCTGAATAATATTCCATTGTGTATATGTACCACATCTTCTTTATCCATTCATCTACTGATGGACACTTAGGTTGCTTGCATTTCTTGGCTATTGTAAATAGTGCTGCAATAAACATAGGGGTGCATATGTCTTTTTCAAACTGGGCTGCTGCATTTGTAGGGTAAATTCCTAAAAGTGGAATTCCTGGGTCAAATGGTTTTTCTATTTTGAGCTTTTTGAGGAACCTCCATACTGCTTTCCATAATGGTTGAACTAATTTCCATTCCCAAGAGATTCATTTTTTAAAAGGAATGGATTTAAGGAATCATTATGTTTTTCTTCTCCCTAGCTATACTAAGGCTAAACATAAAGAGCCTGTTACCAAGAGCTCCCACTCAAATTTGAAGTCCAAATCAAAAGTCTTATATTTGTATAGAGTTCTGTCCTTTATTTTCACATCTTCCATAAAAAAATTAATAGTGTAATAAAATATACTCATCCTAATCTTTTCTAAATTTTCTATTCACATAATTGGAGTAATACAAAAACATTTACATATCGATTTTCATGTTTATAGACCATTACAGACAAAAAGTTAAGATTTCTTAAGTCAAAAGATAGAACATGGATGTACAAGTGCTCAGATTTCTCCCAATTGTTAAATAAAACTAAAATAGATGAGCTTTGTCATCTCATTCCTTAAAAATTTTTTTTAATGTTTTTACTAGATTTATTAAAATATAGTTTACATAGAACATTGTATTCATTTCAGGTGTACAACATGATTTGATGTATGTGTAGCCTGCAAAATGGTTACCACAGTAAGTTAACATCCATCCCCACAATATGTTAACATCCATTACCACAAATAGTTGACTTTTTTGTGTGTGATGAGAACTTTCAAGATCTACAATCTTAGGAACTTCCAAATATATGATACAGTATCATTCACTTTAGTCACCATGCTGTACATTACATCTCCAGGACATACTTATAATGAGTTTGTACCTTTTGACCACCTTCACCCATTTTTGTCCCCCACCCACCCCTGGCAACCACCAATCTATTCTCTGTACCTGGTTTGTTTTTTTAAGATTCTGCATGTGAGATCTTACAGTATTTGTGTTTCTCTGACTTATTTCACTTAGCCCTCAAGGTTCACCATTGTTGTTGCTAATGGTACAATTTCCTTCCATTTAATGGCTATTTTATGGCTCACATTTTCTTTATGCATTCACCCACTGATGAATACTTAGGTTATTTCATATCTTGGCTATTGTATAATGCTGCAGTGAACATGGTAGGGTGGGGGGTACACATATCTTTTCAAGATACTAATTTTGTTTTCTTCAGATGTATACCCAGAAGTGGAGTTGCTGAATCATATAGTAGTTCCATTTTCAATTTTTTGAGGAAAACGCCATACCATTTTTCCATAGTGGCTGCACCAAAGTACATTCCCATCAATAGTGCACAAGGGTTCCCTTTTCTCCACATCCTCACCAGCACTTGTTATCTCTTGTCTTTTTGGTAATAGCCATTCTTACAGGTGTGAGGTGATATCTCATTGTGGTTTTGAGTGACATTTTCCTGAAGATTAGTGATGTTGAGCATTTTTTTCATGTACCTGTTGGCCATTTATGTATCTTCTTTCGAAAAATGTCTGTTCAGTTCCACTGCCCATTTTTAAACTGGATTGTTTGGTTTTTTGTTATAGAGTTGTATGAGTTCTTTCTATTTTTTATATTATCCCCTTACCAGATACATGATTGTCAAATATTTTCTCCTGTTCTGTAGGTTGCCTTTCCATTTTGTTGATGGTTTCCTTTGCTGTGCAGACGCAGCTTTCTAGTTTTGTGTAGTCCCACCTGTTTATTTTTGCTTTTGTTGCCTTTGCTTTTGGTGTGAAATCCAAAATACCATTGCCAAGATCAATGTCAATGAGTTTACCATTTTCTTCTGGGAGTTCTGTGGTTTTAGGTCTTTGAACTTTATCATCTCATTCCTTCTTGCATTTTGATGAATTCAAAACCTAAAGCAATAAATATTGTGTACCTTCACTGAAAATTGCATAGACTCAAAATTAGAGTTAGTGAGCTCTGTAAGCCCCATCTCTCCTACAAATTGCCTTTTAAACAATTCAATCTCTGGGTAGGAGCCTAAAATAAAGGACAAAACAACTCCTGGGTACAAGACTAAAATATAGTAGAAAAGCTTCTGAATTATGGTCATAGGAACAAAAATTTTTGTTTCCCTCATGTTGGATAGAATAAAGAAGTTATTTAACAATCCTGTCCCCAATACCTTATTGTTGTTTACTTGATGTTGAAGATTAAAGTTATTTAAATGTTTGAAAGGAACTTTTTAAAGTAGGGTGTCTATTATGTTTAAATCATTTATTTATCATTAAATATATCTTGAATATTTAATGTTCACATAATGCAGGGGTGACACACGTCAACTCCTATTCTTATCTTCAAGGATTTATTGTAGGAGGAGTAAATAGAGTACATGGCAGTAAGTGGCCCTTTGGTACCCTTTATAATGTTATGAAAGTTCAAGGAGAAGAACAATCTTACTTGTTTGGGTGCATCATAAAAGGTTTCATGAAGGCAGTGGTATCAAAGTTGGTGTTAAACTCTGCGTAGGATTTTGACTGGTGGGGAAAAAAGGAAAGGGTATATAAGCTGAGAGAATCATATAGTCAAAGATAGAAATGATGGGAATAGCAGAAGGTCTGATTTGTCTGGAAATGAGAGATATCAATGGGAAGGTAGTAGGGAGTCACCTTTTTTGGGAGTTTAAGTACCAGATTGGGAGTGTAGGCCACTGGGAACCAGAGGCTGTTGTTGATAAGAGAAGCACTACGACTAGAGCTCAGACACATTCATCTGATATCAGGACCTCAGAGCCACTGCTGGTCTAGAGGTTTCCAATTCCTTGAGTAGAAATCTTGGACAATGTAAAATTAATAATGTAGGGAAGACTCAACTTCAGGATATAGGAAAGTCCTTTACATTAAATAAATTTAGTTTTATGTAGACTCTCTACATTGTTCATTGCAGCATTATTTACAGTAACAAAAACATGGAAAAGATGAATGGATATGAAAAATGTGATACACACACACACAAACACGTATGTGTGTATTAGCCATAAAGTTTTTATCTGGCAAAATTAAAAGTTGGCAATCCTATGTTGGTCCTTAAAACACTCTTTTGGGAAACATTGGTGAAAAAAAGCCAGAAGCCTGGGAACAACGGGCACAGAGTCAATTTAGACATGATGGAGACTGGAGCTGATTCAAGGCTAAGAAGTGAGATTTTAGTTTGGGAAATGTTCTGTGGATAGTCTTGTAGGAGAGCTGTTTGGAAATGTCCCATGAGCGACTGAAATGTCAGTCTGAAGCTCAGGAGGGAGGCTCATTTATTAACAAGACAACAGATATTTATTTTACACTTACTATGAGCCAAGCACTAAACTGGGGGAAAGATATATTTGTGTGTCAGTTATATAGACTCTCTTACAATAATCTTCTTCATTAAGTACTTACTTAATATAATCCTTTTATCTCTGTTTTACGGTATTCCTAAGAACCTGTAATTCAAACATATATTGCAAATACAATAATAAATATTCAAAATATACAAGTCATCTACAAAATCATAAAGGAATGGAAAACTAAGACTGAAAAAAAAAACCCTTAATGTGTATTAGTTAGCATAGGTCACAGTATAAACAGACTCAAACATGTAATGGTACAGCAGAGAAAAAGTTTCTATCTTGGTCACAGGTCATCTCGAGGAGCAAGTAAATCGGTTTGGTAGAATGGCCCCCCTCGGAGACCCAGGCTGAGGGAGGTTCCACCCTCATGGACAAAACATGGCTTTGAAGGTCACTCTGTCAACTCCATCTCAGCATGCAATGATTTCAGGCCTCAAAGTGGTAAACATCACTTCTCACACTCCACTGACTAGAGTTCAGTCACATGGCCCAATATAACCAGGAAGGGCCACGGGGAAGCATAGGCAAGCTTTGCGTCCCGGAAGAAGACATAAATTTTTGTTGAACAATTAGCAGTCTGCCACAATTTGCATTAAATCTTATGAGTAAAAGTTAAAATTTAATAAATAAATCAGTTGGGTCGTGAATTGCATTTTGTGTATCAATGAACAGATATTTAGCCCTGCATCTCTGGAGAGAAGTTATTGCCATTATGGGAACTTCTGTTCATGTTAACAGTTAAACCATATTTTAATAGTTTTTAAGCAAGAAAACAGTTGAATTCCTGTAACATTGTTCAGAGTCCTTGCAAGGATAGCATTTGCTTTTTCTAGCTGAAAAGCAGTCTAAGCTGTGATCTGAAATGATGGGGAGCAAGAGGAAAGAGAACAGTATCCCAGGATTAACATGTTCTCTATAAGCAGGTCCTTTATGACCTTCTTTGTTCCCTGGAACATGGGCCTCTTTGCCGTGTCTGTGGTTTTTGCATTTCTTTCGCTGTCAGCATTTTTTCTTCAAACTTGTCTTTAAAGTGACTGCATCCTTTAATGAACCCTTACTTAGCCTCTGACCGATTGCCTACTCCCAATAAATTTTTACAAAAAATCTCATACCCTTCAGCTTAGTTCTGCACTTGGAGTCTGAACATGTGCTCAGAGTAGCAGACAGAAACCCATCAGCAACAATACTTAAATATATAAAGATCTCCTATTACTTCATATTCAGAGAAATGTGCATTTATTCATGAAATATAACATGTAGATTATCCCTATCTTTAGTGTATCCCTTATGACTGCTCTGCTTTAAGTATTCATTGATACCAACAAAAATAAATTATTTCTTTTGGCCAGAACTTAGAAAAGGAAGCATGTAAAAGGAAGAAGACACTAGCTCTATCTTAGGTTGATCCTAAAGTAGGTGATGCAGCCTTAACAGTTTTTTTGGGCTACTATAACAAAATACCAGATTGGATGGTTTACAAATTTAAAAAATTATTCATTTTTCAGTTCTGGAGACTGGAAGTCTGAGATCAGGTGCCAGCATGGTCAGTGAAGGCCCCTTTCTGGCTGCAGACTTCTTGCTATGTCCTCACATGGTGGAAGCGCTGGGAACACTTAATAAGGGCACTAATCTCAATCCTGAGAGCTCCACCCTCATGACCTAGTCACCTCTTAATAGCATCACCTTGGGGATTAGGATTTCAGTATGTGAATTTTGAGGGTAGGAACACGAACGTTCAGACCACAAGTCCCTTCCTGGTAAGTAGTAGGGAGCCAGAGAGGATCTAAGACGGATAATTTGGATGATTAGGAAACCTTCACATTACTGTTTAATCAGAACACTTCAGTGGATTTTGCTTTTGGTGACCTAGCATCAGAATACTTTTAGGGGGCAGATCCTAAAATAGATAGGAGGCAGGGTCACACATCTCACTGGAGCCGCTAAAGGGGGCAGATAATCTTTTTTCCTGACAGCTGGGGCATCTGCAAATGTTTCTGCCAAGAGCATTTGAACCTTGAGGGAGTGATGCGAAAATGGAAGTGCCTGAGATCATTTGTGGCAAGGGGGTGGTGCAGAGTCCACAGCTTAGACATGGCCCTCGAGTTGTGGGGTCCTCGCAGGCTGTGCCTGCAGCACCATCTTGGCCACTTTAGATTGGGCAGCCTCCCGTTCCCTGCTCTTTTCTGGGATTTGTTCTTTGGTTCTGTAGTAGCCTGATGAGAAATTTTCTGCTGCATCGATCAGGGAGTTTCTTTTGTCTTCAACCAAGAATCCCAACTGGCACAAACATCCCCAAATCTGCTGTATTTTTCCATTAAATGTAATTTTTTTCTTATTGCAAAGTCATTTATCAACTGAAAAACTTAGAAAATGCAGACAAACCGAAAAACACTGTAACTCCATCACCCATAGAGAACCTTTGTAAAAAATTTTAAACATTTTCTGATGCATACCCTCCCTGACTTTTTTCCTGGGCATATGAATATATTCTGTTTCTTTTCATTAAGGTATTATAAAAAGTGCTATCACACTATGACCAGCTTGCTTATTTGCTTGTTATTCTGCCTCTTATATAGCAGAGCTTCTCCACATGAACGTGAATGCAGACATAATGAGTTGGGCCAGCTTGGTAAAAAATATTTGTCACACTTTATCAAATTGCCTTTGAGTAAATATATGTAGAAGTGGTATAATTTTCATACACAGGAAGTCATATAAAATGATTTCAGGTAAATTCTTGGAACAGAAAAACAATCCATAGTAAAGCACATGTTCCTCTACTTGGTTAGGTCTTTAAACACCAAACTTGGCTATCTTGCTTGGTCATGTGATAATGAAGGCATACTTTTTATATTTAAGTTGCTAGCATTCAGAATTTTAAAAAAAGTTTTAAGTATAGGTATACTCTCCTGGAAACCTAGTATTTCAAGTAGAAATACATTTAAAAATGACTGACTTCTCAGAATGCATTCAATTGACCTCTAATTAAAAAGAGAGTTGTATATGTATTTTAAAAGGTAATTACTTATAGGTACAAATAAAAACTGCCATTAGATAATCTGAGTACAATTTTACTGTATATGCTTAAAATTATAAATAGGTGCAAATATATTAAACATCTTTAGAAAGTCTTTTCTACCTCTTGTGTCTTAATAGATGTTAGTCCTCTTTTGTTCAGAGGTAACTTCTACCCCATATAGATGAAAACAAATTAGTAGATTCTAAATAAATTGCATTTGTTTTTTCAACCTAATTTCCTTTAGTCACATTTCTGTTCTATGACTCTTTATCCTGTTATCTGCCTTTATGGCAACTATTTTTTTTTCCTTTATAGCCATATTTTAATACTGAAAGTAAGAGCTTAAGAGCTCTGGTTTTCTTTCCGGTGAATGTTAAAAAAGCTCTCTTCTTGCTATCTCCAAATAATCTTTAATAAATATATTTCAGAAACTGATTCATGAAACTTCTAGTGATTTCCAAACAACTTTGTAATTTCTTTTCCTTTCAAAATAAACCATCTTTAAACTGCTTTTAAGAGTTTTTATTAGTTTTTATAATCACATGACTTTTTATGTAACAGTGCTTTTTCTCCACGACCAACCCATTGATAACTATTCAATAATTAAAAAAATAAAACTAGCCAATGCTTTATTAAGCCAAAGAATTAAGAAGAGTTAACATTTTAGAACCTGGGCCTTAACATTCCTTTGCTTATTCAAATTAAAATGAAGCAGTCTTCCTATTTGTGACCATGGATTTCAAAAGAAGATTCTACATTTCTAAAGCTGTTTATACAGAGTATATGATTTAAGCTGAGGAACAAAATGTTGAACTGTGAATACTTTAGTTCAACTCATAAAAAGGATGCTAACCAAAGAGTCTCCATCTTTGAGACCAAACAAGATCAAAGGAACTAAAATGGCAGCAGAATCAATGTGGGTTATTTATATAACAGTACTTTCCAGCATGTATCAAGAGGCTAAGATACCCATTGCTCATACGTTTTAGAGAACAAGATAGGCTGCTCATTTGCTTGGAATAGTTCCTGAAGAAAAATATTCTAGAAGGCAGAAAGGTCTTTCCTTACCTGAAGACCATCTTTCTCCGTAGGGGCTCAAAGCTTTCAACGTATCTCATTTATTCTTCTCAGTGTGAATCAAATCCATTTCCAGAGGTTACAGACTCTCGGTCTTTCATAACCTAACTTCCATTGTAGAATCACTCTGCAATTAGGAACTCACCCTGTTCTCAATCCTTATAAAAATTTAGCCAAGATTCTTTGGTATAGGGCTTTTCTTACTGTATATCCTCTGCTATTCAGAGCCATTCAGAGCATTTATTTACTACTATAATATGCAATGAAATGTAATTTAAAAAGCCACTCTGTAAAGTAATATGAAGCTTTTTCATTTTTTAATGTTTGGTCAAGTAGCATGGAGCAAATGGCTCAGTTTAGCTGAGTTATATTCCTAATTCCTTTTGATAATGAAAATCATTAAAATTTTCTGAGAAGTAAACTATAAACAAATCTATTTGTAAAAGGGGAAATCTCTTCTCTCAAAGTATGTTGTAAAGATGGGAAATTAATTCAATTGGTTATATACACTTTCTGGATATTTCCACTTCTGTAAATGTCGACATCCAGTGAAGCCTTATTTCAATTTTCTAACAACAATATAAAAGCTGTTATCAAAATATGTAGAGGTAAATGCTTTTATAAATAACTGTTAAATTTAGTATTTTGACTTAGTGATCAAGCCATAATTTTTTTCAATTCTAATTTTAATTTGTTCCTGTACTCTACTTAAGGGGTGTTTGGGCTTCCAAGTCATCCTTTTCAGTCTTTGTAAGATAAAGTGAGTTAGGTTATTTGCTTCTGTTTAGCAGAGCTGGATGGGGAACATCTCTGCATTTCATTGGCTGGCTTTTAAAGGATTACTCCTCTGGAAACGCACTGTCCCAAATCACATTGCTAGCAGTGTGGACTTAACTGGTGTAAAATTTAAACTGACGATGAACATTTACCATCAAAAGAGGACAGAACTTCAGGACTCCTATGTTACATAGATTCTACACATCATATGACTGTGATGAACAGCTCTGTTTTGAAACAACCTTAAACCCTCTAACCAGAAATAAGAACTGACTGCCAAAGAGAAGTAACTTGAGGTCCCTGTATGTTTTATAAATGCAACCGGTACACTTTTAAAAAGAATAAATTCCAACTATAAAGACTTCCGTAAGATTAACAAAACTGAGGAAGACAAATGTGTCAACTAAGTCAACAAGCAAATACAATATTCTATACTGTTTATACCTAGATGAAATAAAACAATGACTTACCACTTCCATTTGCATTTCCCAGCTACTCGGAGTAAGCATTATCACTTTTCAAATTCCACTTACTATTTTATCTGAAAGAATTCACTGAGTAAAATGCTTAGCTGCAGGATTTTACATTTGCAATCTATCTGGTTACAATATTAAAGTTACTACATTTTCTTCCCCAGTATATAGTTTCTGTATGTGCCTTTTATTTACACTGTCACTCTATATTTCCTCCTAAACTTTATATGCTCAAGAATGAAACTGTATTGGTGTTATATAACAGTATTTCAAATTTGCAGTACATATACTGTTTTATCTCTCCCTTGAACCTATGTCCATGAAAAATAAACACAATGTACCCAAAAAGAAAAAATTACCTTGGAGTGTATGGGCAAGAGTACAGACGTGTAGAAACAAAAGCAGTGAAATATAGTTATGTGGAAGGGTAAAGATATATTTGTCTTGTTGACAACAATCCCCATGATTTATTAACAGTCATAAGCAACCGTTTAGTACACGAAGAGGTCCTAGGCCTGGCCACAATAAGGTGGTAACCCAGTGGGGATGAAGGCGTTAAAGTCTCTTACAACTAATGTGATTTGAAAAAAAGTCCCAAAGGCAGCAAACCGTAAAACCTGGAGAAAGTGCTCCAAATAGAGCCTCTTTGGCAACCCGGATTGAAGCAAATGACTCAGATGGACGATTAAAATAAACTGTGCGCCGTTTTCTTTCACTAGATTTATAAAGTCCATAAATCGTTTGGTCCAGAAAACCAGGAGTTACTAAAACTTTCCTTTTTCACTGTTAAACATTCAATGTATCAACAATAATTCTTAATCCATAATCTTCATTTATTGAGTAAACAAGATCGTGGGTGGCTCTTGGTGATCGCTCCTGCTGAGCAGATCTCATATGACAGCAAACTGAAATGTACCTCCGTGAAGAGGGTCAAGACCACGAGGTAAGTCATCCCAAAGGTGGGCGCATCTTGCTTTCATGTACTTATTTATTGGAGCGGCGGCGATGGCCGCGGCAGTACTAGAACAAGGCTTGAGGCAAAAGGGCGCGCGGGTTGTGAGCCGCAGCCCCGGTGGGGGAGAGGGGGGGGCCGCGGAGGAGGTGGGGGGGTAGCAAACACGCTCTACCAACTCTGCCCCCGACCCAGAAAATGACCCTCTCCTCCCCCCCACTGCACCCTTGACCCTCCCCCTTTCCAAGCCTTTCATCCGCCCGCTCACCCAGCACACCGCGGACACCAAACCGCGCACCGCCCACCTCTTCCTATGACCCCACCGCACGGCGCTGGGAGGCCCGGGGCGGCCCCGCGAAGCCCTCGGCCCGGCGAGGACCGGACCCCGACCCCTCCCGCTGCGCCCCTCCCCCTGGTAAAACGCACCTGCAGCCCCGCCCCCGGACAAACGCTGAGGCAGCGGCGGGCTGGCGAGGCCGGGTGGCTCGGCCCTCGAGGCACAGTCACCTTCCCTTCCCCCGCCATTCTGCCCACCCCCCTCGCTCAGCCACCGAGCAGCCGCCGCGCTCCTCTGCCGCCCCGAAATCTAAAGGGGTCCGTCTCAGGCACCACAACCAAATGGCTGAGCCTCCCTGGCCGGCTGCGCAGCCTTCCCATTGGTCCCTCGCCCCCCCCGCCGCTGCCACCATTGGCTGTTGCCCGGAGGCCCTCGGCAACGATTGGTTCAAGCTGCTGCCGTTCATCCGCCGGGCCGTAGATCCCGCCTCCACGGTGATCAGGTTAGTGTGCGCCGCGGGTGCTGGGGGCTCGAGAACCGAGCGGAGCTGGTTGAGCCTTCAAAGTCCTAAAACGCGCGGCCGTGGGTTCGGGGTTTATTGATTGAATTCCGCCGGCGCGGGAGCCTCTGCAGAGAAAGAGCGCAAGAGATGGACATGGACAAACGGATTCATTTGGAACTGCGGAACAGGACGCCCTCTGATGTGAGCATTTGCCAAAAATATCTCTGTCGGTCCATTCTCCTACTTTGTGTGTGTGTGTGTGTGTCTGTGCGTTGCGGGGAGACACTTTTTTTTTTAGGGGGGGACGCCCGGGAGGTGTGGGTTTGGGGATCGGACTGCAAATGAATTGCAAGGTTGGGGGCTTGTAATGCCATCCGAGCATGTTCCTGCTGCTGCCGCCGCTGCCCTTGGTGTATGACTACCTGTGCGTGTGCTCCCGCGTGTGCGAATGTGGGTGCGAGAGTGTGCGTGCGAGTGTGCACCCATCGGGGGCCAGCGGGCGCACGCGTTTGGGTCAGAGAGAATGAGGCAAAATAACCCTCTGAGCTCGCTGCTCCCGTGACTCCGTCTGGGGGAAAGATTAACGAGGAAGGAGGAGGAGAGGGGCTGCCTCCTAGATTTAACAACAAAAAGGGGGGGTTATATTTTATAAATGAATGCCCCCCCCGCCCCTCCCCCCTCCCTTTCTCTCTCGCTTGCTCGCTCGCTCTCTTCGCTCGCACACACACAATAAGTTTTGGGCTTCGCGAGTCCGGTTTAGTTTCTGATAAACGTGGGCCGAGGCCCCCGGGGAGAGCGCGTGGGGAGGGGGCTGCAGCGGAGTTGGGAATGGCTCGAGTTTAAAGTGCGTCTTCATTTCTTTGCAGTGATGAGGCGAGAGACGGGGGAGCCATATTTGTAACTTTGTAGTGTTCGTGAACGCGCCCTTTCTCTCCCTCCCTCCCTTTCTCTGCCTCCCTTCCTCTCCTCTTTCTCCCTCACTCTTTTCACCCCACCTTCGGGCCAGATGCTGATGTTTCTTCCTTCCCTTCCGAAGGGAGGATAAATTGGGAGGGGGGAGGGAATCTCGAACGTGCCAAGGCACGGATAATCCCCGCGCCTCACCTCAAGCGATCGCTATTGCAAGTTACCCGAAGGCTGTGTCCCGGTCCCCTCTCGCCCCTGCGCCTTCCGGCCTCCCTAAGATGCCAGCCTGTGACTGCTGGCGCCTCCGGCGCCGACCCCCCGACCCGTCCTTCTCTAGGGTGGGTTCCTCGGCAGCCATTCGTCGCCTGGTTAATAAATGGGCATGGGAAACTTTGTCAGGACGCAAGCTGCCCAGAGCTGGTGCCCGTGGTGGGTATTGGCGCGGTCCAGATTTCTGCGGGCAGAGCAAACGCAGCTCCTGGCCGGGAGTTTGCCTTCGGTCGCCGCTATTGAGTGGGCAGCGGCGGGAGTACCCCCGGAGGAAACTTACACGGATGCGAACTGGGAAGCTCGGGCGAAAGCCAGCCCCCAAAGCGGGGGAAGGTGAGGGTGGGATACTCGAACGCTCCGGTTCGTTTCTGTCTCCCTCTCGCCTTCAAACAGTGTTTTATGTGAGTTGGCGGCTCAGCGGAGGAGACCCCGTGTCTGGGGCGGAGACGCTGGCCGACTCTCCGGTGGCCCCTCTGGGGGACCAGGCGAGCGCTGGCCGGAGGACCCCCCTACCGAGCCGCGGTGGTGAGGGTTCCAGAGTTGGGAGTTTGGATAGCACTGCGCGCTGAACTGTCGCCCCTCCAGCCCGTTAAAACCCGAATCCCTGGCGCAGGCAGGCCTTGCTTCCTCTTTTCTCTAGTTCCTCCCCCAAACCTGAGTGAGACTTTTGAAAACAAGATCCTTTTTGTGCCACCTCCCCCCCCCCCATCATAACGCAGCTGGACTGTAGACGTGCAGTGCCTTATGGCGCGCAGGGCGGGGAGTGGGGCGGCGAGGGGAGGGGGTTGCTGCCGGAGAAGGCAAGAGTTTCCGCTAACAATTTGCCAGCGGTTTGTCTTTCTCCGGGCGGTTTCATCCCAGCTGGGACCCCGAGCCGGTGGATTTGGGGGCTGGGTGTGGTGGGAGGGAGGGGGCCGGAGCCGCGGTCTTCCCGCGTCCTCTCCGGAAGCCCCCGTGGCGAGGGGGAAGGGCGCCCAGTTAGCGGGCTGGGGTCTCGGCGGGTGAGCGTGGAGGCGCGGTCCACCCGGCCAGCCCCATCCACACTGCGGGCCAACTGGGAGTGCGATCGAAAGCGGGTCGAACCGGCTCTTTAAACTTCCCCGAGTGTGTGCTGGGGGAGGGGAGCGCGCCGCGCCGAACTGGGAGCGATTTCTCACGCTTCGCCCCCTCGCCTCCGAGTCTCCCTGCCCACGCGCCTGCCCCCTGCCTTGAGGCGGGGTGGGGCGCGGGTGGGGATGGAGGGGGCACTTTCTGCACCTTTGAGGCGGTGGGGGGGGGAAAGCTAGCTAATGAGGGACAAAAGGGGTTGGGGGAGGAGAACTATTTTTTTAAGACGTTCTTAAGACAAACAGCTCCCGGAGATCGCCCCCTGCGCCCCTCCCCGCCGCGCTTCCCCGGGGCCCCCACACACCCACCTTCGGAGCCTCTCCCAACTCTGATCCGGGGGTTGGTGGCCACGCCGCGACGCCGAAATAGGACGAGCAGCCATGTTTCCCGGGTCTCTCGCGGCCCGCCCCGCCCCTCCCCCACGGCGCGGCGGGCGCCGAGCGCGGGGCTCCGAGTGCGGGCGCCGGGCTCCATGCGACGCGGGGCGCTGGCCGGCCGGCCGGCGCCGGAGAGGCCCGGCTTCGTACGCGCGGGCCAGGGTGCGGGCGCGCCCGGCTGGCCCCCGGGCGGGCCTTTTGGCTCCTCGAGCCGGTTTGGAACTCGAGGTGTTTTATTTATTATGATTATTTTCTTAACGGCCAGGCCCACCCGAGGCCGAGCCCGAAGGGCGCCGAGATGTTATTGGGGGGCAGAGGCGGCCTCCAGGGGCCTGCTAGCCTGTGGCACGACTGCCAGGCGCCGGGCTGCCATTTTGTCACCGTGGCTGTTGTCGCTGGGGGGGTGGGGTGGAAGCGGAGCTTTGCGCCATTGCCCCGACGGTCCCGGACGTGGGGGCAGCAGGAGGAGCCGGCCCCGGGGACCCCCAGTTGTGCCCTGAGCCTCGGTGATGTCCCCTCCCCGCGTCAACGGCCTCAGCCTTTGCTGGAGCGTCGCGGCGGTCGTTGCACTGGGAGGGTGACGATCTTCCCTGCAAGGGCGCCCCCCAACCCCCCATCGCGCTCCATACCTCCCCCGCCCCTCTTCCCTCCAGTGTTCGCCCTTCCTCCTGCAGGCGTTTGAGACGTAGTTAAATGTGGCCCTAAAGACGTACCGGTCGCCCTGGTGTTTGCCCTTTTGGCGGAACTGCTGGGAAGGTGGGGGGAGAAACTAAACACGAGGTTTCTTTTTTGGGAGGGGGGGACGCGCATGCGATTCTAGCGGCCCTGACTGAAGCCAAGGACAGCAGCCGCTTACCCGGGAGGGACGAGTGTCCAGGCGCTGGGGAAACGCCCTCCGGGGCTGGGCTCTCCGGGAAGGTAGGTCTCTGTCCCTGCTTCTGGTGGGTGTTGCAGCGCCCTGCCGGCTGCCAGGGGAGCGCCCCTCGATCTTCCTGTGCCCCTCCCCTTTTTATTTTAGCCTAGGGAAAGGCAACTACAGTAGTAAATGGAACACTGAAGCCAGAAAGAGGAGGGAATAAGGTTTGCTGTTTAAAAAAGTAAATGAGGTCTTTCTGTCGACCACCTTTCTCTTTTTTCTGGCTGTTGACTGCCCAGCCAGACAAGGCGTCGCGTCGTTGACATCTCTGGGACTTTTTAAAAGCCGGTATCAATGCGGTTAAGCACGTCTCTGATTGTACTCTGGTGTTTGCATGGAGGCTAGTTTCATGGCAGTGCCAGCGAATACTGCCCAGGAAGCCAGTTTTAACTTTGACCTTTGGAATATATCGCATGATGTTTTCTATTTTCTAGACTGCCTGCCTAATGGGGTTCAGGTAGCCTTATATTAACTCCAGTTTATGCAAGCCAACCTGGGATGTCCAGGCAGAATACTGAGCGGGACCTTGGTATGATCATGGTCAATTGCGTTTTGTTACTGGGTTGGTACTGATGGTAGTTTTGAGTCTGGGGGCTCCAAAGTGAAGCTGGGTTCCGGAGCCACACAGGCCTCAGTTTGATTTCCGTCTACCACAAGAGGTAAGATAAGTTAACCGTCCGGTCTGTTATCTTGCGCAGGTTAACTTAACCTGTATGTTGGAACCTTGGTTTCCTTACCTGAAAAAGGGTAATAATAATTGCGTGTCAAGTGTAAGTGACTTGATCTGGCCCTCGGGTGCTTAGTATATGATAGTGGTATTCTCTCAAAGATGTTGGGGTGTGATGAGGTACACAACAATAATAATATTTAATGCTGACATAGCACCTATGCTGTGCCTGGCATAGTTCTAAGTGGATTACACAGATCAGTCAATTTAGTCCCCACAACAGCACTGTCGGTATTATTATTATTATCATATTACACACAAGGAAATCGAGGCTTAAAGAGGTTATTACAGTCAGTCTGCATACCCAACTACTCTTTACTGACACCCCAGAAACACCCTTTTTATTTTTTTGAAGGATACCATGTGGAAAAGCCTTTTCTTTTCTGTCTTTGAAATGGTGATGCCTTTTGGAAGAGTGAATTTCTTGTCATTGAAGGTATTGAAGACTCAATAGCTTCATGGCTACAGATATTGAGGGGGATGGTCAGGACCAGAGGCGCTGTGGATTGTCATTTTAAGGGAGAAGCCATATACTTTACAAGTTTGGTTTAGCACATCACGTCTGGTTAGACTGAATCTGGTCTTTTTTGGTGTTGGGGGACACATTTTAGGTAACAAGAAGACAGGCAGGAGCCAGTCTTAGGCAGTGGTTTGTATAGTATAGTCTTGCATGTAATGCATTCAACATTTTTGTTTCCATCTACAGTCAAAACACTGAACAGAATTGGCATGTCTGGGATCTAGGATTGTAATATGCTAATAACATCTGGAGGAGCATCTCACTTAATCCTCCCAACAACTCCTTAAGGGTAGGCCAGGCAGTGTGATTTCCTCCTTATTGTGAGAGTGAATCATCAAGGCTGGAAGAGAAACTTAGGCAGTGGGGCTGGCTTCTTCTCCCACTGAAACTAGAGTCCCCTTAGGTAGACAGAAGGGACTGAATTGTGTAGTCCATTGGGTTCCAGCCATAGCCCATCAGCAGAGTCACACGGAAAGCATGTAAAATGCGGATCACCAACCCCATCTCTGGGCATTGGTTTAGCTCAGGCATCACCAAATTTTGGGGGAGGTACTTGTTTTTGGATCATGAGCTAAGAATAATTTGTACATATAAACATTTCAATTAGTTTGATGATGTGGAACACATAACTTTGAAACCCAGTTAAGTGAAATGTTACCACTCCCCAGAAAAAGAATTCCACTTGTCTCATTAGACCTTTATTACCAAAAAATAGTACCTATTATTTATTTTGAATTTTATCTGTAAAGAATGGTGGAAATTTGTTTTCTCTTATTATAAAAGCACCTGTGTAGTATTGTGAGTTTTGCCTCTAGGTACAGTTTATTGATCCTTTACAGAAGTTTGTTGATCCCTGGTTTAGTAGATTGAGGGGGAGGGACCCTGGGATCTTGAGTTTATAAATTTTTTATTAAGCATGTGGCAAATGGTTCACTTGGATGGTGCTTTAGGGGTCTTTCCAAGTTCTCTTATGTGTTGATGCGTAGTGGAAATAAACCTCAGTCCAAGACCCTCCGTCAGAAGAGAAATTCTTTGCTACCAGTTTAGAATTGAACACCCATTCTGTCCAGAAGTTCCTCTGTGTAACCAACTGAAATTCTTTATCTTGCATGCTCGTATTTCAAAAGATTTTTGTATATTTTGCAGTTACATGGTCACTCTTAAATTTTAGATGTCTTCTCAGAGCTAGACGAAAGGAGCTTTGAGGCCTATTGAAAGTGCAGCAGCTGTGTACCCACTGGCTGACATCAGACCCTCAGAGCACAGACCATTGAAAACCATAGATAATCTGAACCCTCTAGTTTGGACCTGCTTTTCTACCGTGCATGTTTCCTGGGGAACCTACCAGAAGCAAAAGAGGCTTTGCATTCCTGAGCCCTTCCTCTATCTCTGGCCTCTGGTACCTGAGCTAATGAGTGGAAAATGGATGTAAGATTGGCCAGGTGGAGGGATGGAGGAGATAAAACCAAAGGGAAAAACTGCAGTCCCCGTAACTGTGGCCTGTACTTTAAGGACAGCAAACCACAGACCCAGTTCACTGTCTTGGCCTCTGCTGCACCACCAACCTCTCAAGGTGACTTGCTGTAGACTTACACAATCCAAAACCTGGGGCGCCTTTACAGCCATATTTGTGTAGGAGACTTAGCAGATGCATCCTACCGCTGGGCCTGCCCGCTGTACCTTGGAAAGGAGCAGAGCTTGTCGCTGAGTGGTGATGAGCCCTTGTCAAATGAACTTGGCCCAGTGGGCCTGAATTCTGACTTGATGAAGAGGGTCTCATTATTGGTGTCCAGAGTGAGTACTCCTTTACAGATGTTTGCTGCCGTGACGCCCCAGCCCACATTGGCCCGTCCAAACCTTGTTCCTAGCTAGTTCTTTAGTCTCCTAGAAGTAGTCTGCTACCACCACTGCCTTCTTCCCACAAACAAGTAGAGAAACGTGGACCTGCCTCTGAAGCTTGCATTATATTGAAATATAATTATATGACAAATGATGAATACCCAATAATGATGTTTTCATTAAAGAGATGGAGTCTGGCAGGAATGGAGAATTGTGAAAGCATCTGTTATTCAGAACTTCTCATTTAATAAAATTTGTTGAAACGAGATGAGCAAAGCACCCATGGCCCCGGGCCATCTGTCCAGACATGGAAGCAGCCTCCTTGTATAGAACCAGTTGTCTTGATGATCCTTGTTAATAACAAAGTCTGTAAACAAGATAAAATGTGTTTTGTTCTCCCACATCAGGCCTTGTCCGATGTCTACTGGGCCGCAACCCGTAACCGCTGTGTTTTCACTCAAATTTATTTTGTCTCTGTTCCGCGGATACCCTGGTGCATTCATCTCTCATCTCCTTTACCAAACTCGCTCCAGGCAGCAGATCTGAAAGATCAGCTTACTCGTGCCACTATCTCTTACTCTAATGTGGGTTAAAGTCAGGGCTGTCTTTCCCAGAGGTATTTGCATTTGGAGATTCTGGTTTGGTGAAGAAATTACCACAGAACTATTAAGAGAGTTGGGTGCTATTCTCAGCTCTGCTATTAACTAACTTGATTAAGTTGTTTGGCCTCTTGGGACCCCTATTTTCCCCACTCTAAAATGGGAGTGTTAACTTAGATCAGTGGCTTTCAAACTTTAGATCCCGACTGTAAGAAATATGTTCTACACCACTACCCAGTATGTTTGTACATACATATGTGAAAAACTGATTAATATGCTCCCTTACTATGTGTAAAAACAATTTTCTGTTTATTAAAAAAAGTATTCTGGCTTTGACCCATAAATTGATTTCATTGCTTGTTACTATTTGAAAGACATTAAAAGATGAGTATTAAGATTCCTTCACACTCAAATATTTTGTGGTTTCATTTGGGGGAATGAGGGAATGGCTTTTG